CCACGTAGGCAAAGGAGGGGGGGGGGGTATAGCCAGCATGAGCCGGTAAAACTCCAGAAAAGTAAATTCAAAAGTTTTTCTGACGGCTCGCGAAATATCCTTCTCGAGGGCTGAGTCTTATATGACCTCCTCCGTTCCAGCGAACAAACACGATTGACCACGATGGAATTCTTTCAACGATGTGCCCTGACTTGGCTGACTTCACGTAGCATTTCGTCTTTCCTTCAACAACAGAAGCAGTCGGGAGTGCGCAGTGGCCTCAGAAACCCCACCTATGCACATGGTTTTTCCAGTGCCTTTGAGAATCCTCTGGTGCCGGCGCTATCGCCAAGACACGCAAAGGAAAGGGTTACAACCGATCTCCTCATCCGCTCCACCGCTTCTTACAGGAGCCGCTTTAACTCGGGTCCAACTTTACTACACTCAACTACTTCTAAGGGCCCCTTAATCCCTTCCTTCCAGAAAAAAAACTCTGGCGAATCGTAGTATGGGGAAAGATACATTATGTGATACACTCTGAGGCGCAATCCGGCCTGGTGAAAGCACCAAACGGCGCTCATGGAAGCCACTTGTGGAAGTCTGGAAACCCCCTGTAGTGGAGGTGTTCACTTGGTCCGGTTCGGAGTTTGAGGGGGCAATTTATACCTTTTACCTGGCAAAGAAGAAGTCCTTCCTTTCCGAAACTTCAGTCTAACCTACAATGAATACACCTTCTTCATTTTAAATTCACGACTTTTGAAACCAAATTCACGACTTCCTACAGAAGCCTCTGTAACTCGGGTCCAGCGCATCTCAACTACTTCTTCGCGCCCCTCAATCCCTTCTTCCCAGGGAAAAATCTGACGACTCGTCGCACGGAGAAAGCGGCACTGCTACAACATGTGATGCCAAATTCGTAATTTTTTTGAGACTAAATTCACCACTTCGTAAACCAAAAACAAGACTTTTGCGAGCCACTTGAAGACTCGGACAAACATGTCACCCTGGGCACTACTGCAGGCTCCGCCCCAACAGTCACAGCCCATATCAACGGGTTGGGAGAATATGAGGAATGCTGTGTAGGAAGAACCCAGTTGGAGTGGTAATATGATCATATGATCCATAAAGGGAAACTGGTCCCACCAAGGTGCTTCAGTGGTAGGATGAAATCGAAACCCGTACTATATGCCACACGTATGCATCACGTGCCAGCTCGAATAAAACCCACTGCGGCATCGTGACGCAAAATCAAACGTTGAACTTCCCATCGTCATAACCTCGACAATCTCTCATTTCGCATTCGCCTAATCCATGTCGACGCTGTCCACGGATAGTCCCACTATTGACGTCCGTTCATTGTCGACGTCTCTGTGATTCACATACTCTTCACATCATATCTCTATCTGACTCTTCGGTCCCGTTCCGTATTTTCGAACGTGCTGGACGGGCGCGCAACCGATTATTTGTCTCCTTACACCGTACCCACATTTACATATATTTGAATTCGTATAAAAGAGTACTGACGGTTCACCGTCGATATCATCCGTATCAAACCGATTCGTCGATCACGCTCTCTCACACCCCTCGCATTCAGTAAAAACTGCTGGTATGATTTTCCTCCCCCTAGATCGCTTGAGCACAGAAATTTCGTATTTTTGCAATTTTACTAATTTTTTACTGGCTGTTGTATTTTTGTCTGCATATGCAGTTCTCTTAAAAAGCCTCCTTTTAAGGTCTTTGTGCCTTCGCAGTCTATCATCTTGGCTCCGCTAATCTTCTTCCGCTGCTTCCCTTCCAACCTTGACGAATTTGGATAGGTGAACTCTGAGGCACTTTCTTATTTGATCACCTCTTGACCAACCTTATTTGCGGTATTGCTGTTTCAGGACTTGCCTACACAGGCCCCCATAGTCATTCACGTTGTTAGCATCTAAATAAGTGACGTCACACAATGACGTCACTCGCAGCACCACTCGTGCTTGTGGCTGGAGCCGCTTTTGCCATGTCCGTGCCAGTTATTGCACTCAAAGAACTCCTTGTAAAGAGGTAATAGTTAAATCATGTCGTCCTTATATCATGGGCTTATTAGAAAATCATCTTTTGTAGAGAAATCAGGAAATCAGCGAGTTGATTTCCTGATTTCTGGTCTGGTATAATCCTGTACCGCTGTAACCATTAGAAATTGTATGTCACCGGCGATGTTTGTTGAACGGTAAAATAAGCGTGTATTACTGCAAGGGGGCGATGCCTCAAATCGCGGTGTGGGAGTCATGTGAATGCAGTACAGTTGGTGACGGTCTCAGTAGGGATGGAATGCACACACCCGCGGCCTTTTCATCACTGGTTGTTCTCTTCTTGAATCAGGCACTAACAGATCACTATTGTTAGAGCACAGCAGCCGGAGGCGGGCCTTACCCTCCCCTCTCGGCACCGCCCCGACCGATTGCGAAGTTGTCAGCTATACAGTCCTCATCATTGCGGACCGGTGGGGCGTGTCAGCCAGTATGAGTGTGCACACTGTTGAAGCCGTTCTCAGCCTTTTTGTTGAAACGCGTATGCGACAAAAAGTGGTAGAAAACGAGTAATACGGAGGATATAATACAGTCATATCATTTGCTCGCTTTAAATACTGGTGGAGAGCGGGTTTGGCACCGCGCCAAACGCAGCCGCACTGAACCGCCCCGACAGTACGTAATGATGAGAAGTGTATGCGGGATGACCATGAGGAGCAAAAAAGCGTGCGGAAACTGAGTTGTGACACGTTCCGCGGCAAGTGGGTGGAAGGCGACAGAGAACCACGTTGCCTTCCTCTAAGGGTGTAACTCGTTACAAGGCAGGACGGTCAAGAATAGGGCGCCCCCATGAAATGGCTCTCTGTCTTCGCCCTAAAATAGGTGCCTTATCTACCTTCAAACTCGGCGTGTGCTACGTTAGATTGAAGGATTAGTCGTGGCTCACAAACATGTGAAACATAAGGACCACGGAAAAGTTTTTCTCCATAATTTCTAAATTTCAGATCCGAGAAGAACTTCAGGAAGCACCTCGGTAGACGTCACATCTGTCGTGAGTAAATACTAAAGAGATTCACCGAAATCCCTGAGATCGGGTAGGCGTGGTCGCATGCTTCAACTTAACCTGAAGGTGTCTATGCTTCTGGTGAGATATTTTCATCTTGACACAATTGTTGTCGTGTCTCTGTCCAACACAGAACAAGATGACAGTTGTCCCAGACTGGAATATTCCACGAGTAACCAATTCCGTGCCATGTTCAAATGCCACGCCTACTCTGGCTTAGGGATAAGGAGTGTGTGTTCTCTCTGTTCTATCCTCTATCGGAAAGTTCCCTTTTCAGGAGTGAATTTCGGTGAGTTGGATACTCCCACGAAGGAAATCGAAGCGAAGAAGAATGCTGCAGCCAATGCGGCTCCTGGTGGTGGAGCCAAACATCAACAGACATCGCCACTACCAACATACGATGAACTGTTCCGCCCACCACCGCCATATCGCACAAAATGATTATCAGCTGATTATCTTCATTGTGTGACGTCACTACGTTGACAATTTTTTCCAACGAAAGAAACGTCATCCTTTTTTAACGTGAATTAGTTATTGTAATCGTTAGTATTTCCATTTCTGGGCCGTGGAACGCTTGTCTTTTTATGCTACTCGAATCCATAACCATTATGTCTTCCGATAAAATTACTTGGCAGATGGCTCCCAAAATAAACGCTGATTAACAGTGCTCGTTGTAGCTTACATGCTGGCATGTGGACAAAACTTGTAAAATTAGCTTCAAGTAGTTGAAGCCATCGGGAAGTCTGCTATGAAAGACATCTGAAAGGCAAAGGATTAGGAATCCGCGAATGTAAGTCGCAGCTAGTGCAGAGTGAAAACAACGATGTAAGCGCAGTGACTTAACAGTAAAAAGATCAGAAGGAACCATCGAAGACGTTTTAGCTCATTCCGGGCAGTATGACACGCATGGTGTGTCACGTCACCCTTGCGTAGAAAAAGTCGCGGTTCACACGTGAACGCCAGGTGGAATAGGCGCCGGTTCGGAGCCTTAAATAGGGATCTGTTCACTGCGGCTGATTCTAAGCGAGGAGCAGACATTTGTTGGGACTCCTTAGTAGAGACTAGACAAGATGCGCGAGAGCAGATAAACGAACAAGGCGACAGACATTAGCGCGAGCGGGGCTCATCTAAGTACCGGTAGGAAAACTTGGGCAATCCTGCACCTTACCGCCTTTATCTAACAAGTTTCTGACGTGAGGCGTACAAAGCTGTCCATTTTTGCCCACTCAAAC